ATACCCACCAAAAATCTTTTCCTCTTCCAATATGGGACAATGTCTTATTGTCAAGAGGGGAAACTTAAAATTTTATTCAAAAATTTTATTTTCCCTCCATTTCTCATTCACCCTCATTTTAAGACTATTTCATCTTAAAAATAAAACCTCAACAGCTTCTCATCTACAATATAATTTTAATAATTAATTTTTATGTTCTGATTATTTGCAAAGACCCCTACCAAGAGAAGTAGAGAAGAGGATGGATCATTTGTAGTAGAGGTTGATAAGGATCTTACACAATTTTCAAGTGACAAGGTTAAAAGAGTAATTAAACAGGAGAAAAATCCATGAATGACTGCATTTACTTCATCTTAAATGACATTATTCATACAATTGTATTAGCAAGTACTTTGGTACGAAGGAGAAGTGGTTTTAGTTGTATTTTAATTTAGCTTTTACCATTTAGAATCATGATTTAATATCTGAAATTACTTGACTCTTTGGTGGTATCGACTTTATTTATATTAGAAGAGCTACTGGATAGTTTTGAAATATCGCATGTGAATGTTTATACTATTATATCATTCAAAGAATGATAAGAAGGAACTTATGAATGTGAGTTAAGTGAATGAATCAAGTGCCGAATAAGAATCTTTGTGTAGTTAAGGTTTCTGTATCTATTTGTGTTCGTGAGACTTCAAACTTCTGATATATGTTTTATGTATGAGATATTGAAGTCCAATAAAATAAAAAAACAGGAATAGATATTCCAGTATCTAAGCCACAACATCCCAGTTTAGTAAAATGGGAAAAATATTCCTAAAGTGTAACCTTTATGTATGAGATATTGAAGTCCAATAAAATGGAAAAATAAGAATCGATATTCCAGCCTCTAAGCCACGACGTCCCAGTATTTACTCGTGGACAACTGTATGATGCTCTTTCACGTGTGACATGTAGAAAAGGGTTGAAGATTTTAGTTTATGATAATGATGGTCAAATAACGAATGAAACTAGAAATGTGGTGTATAAAGAAGTTTTCCGTAATTTAGTTTGAGATGTAGCTAGAGATGGTGGAATTCTCAGGTATTTACAATACATTTTTCTAATTTCTTGAATTGCTTTAGCTTTTGAGTAAACATTACTGTTGATTATATTTTTACTGTATTGTAGCTGTAAATGAATTGAAGATAATCATATAAAATATGAGAATTTCCTATAACAAGTGAACCTGATTACTTATCCAAAAAAGAACAAGAAAATAAACAAGTGCGACCTGATTTTAGCTCTAGAAGTAGTGAATGCCTCTGTGTGTCTTGGGTGATATAAAACATGAACATTTCAAGAAGATTTTCTGAATAAGACATTATAAGAAGGCCGATTTAGTGCTTTTTATGTGCATGAGAACATATAGACAAACCATACAAAATACAAGGAAGAAAGAGAGATCTGGTCCAGACCCTTTTCGCTTTCAATTATGAACTCCACTGTGGCAGATAGAGACTTGTGTAAATATCCTCTCGAAATGCCTACAGATGTCAGATACTACATTGGTATAAAATAGACATCAAAACAAGAAAGCTGAAACAGATTGATATAGGACATAGCAAATTCTTGTCAGAATTTACATGAATGCTAATATCCCCACCATGATATGTTTCATAAAGTTTTTCCAAAGGTTCTTCTACTGGATCTTTCAACATGAAAGAAAATGGAATCTACGGAGGCAACAAAAAGAATAATCGAGGACTGGAAAGGAGTAAACAAAATGAAAAACAACCACAATGAACGGCTCAAGAAGAATAGTTTATAAGTAAATTTAGAGCCATATAGAACACAGGACAATGACGCGTTATACTACTGCCTTGTGTAGCTGGTAGAGGAGTTGATTTGATTTCCACTGATTCCTGGGACATTTTTGTTTCTCAACTGCTGTTTATAACTAATTCTCCTTCTTTTCTGACATAATCGACCACCGGAACAATTGAACATCTGTAGACGTTGCCTTCATTGATATTGTGGTGCTTTAACAAATTATATAACTGTTACTAGAGGGTGTTATATGTTTATCCCTGAGCTTTTAACAAATTCTACATCATTCTATGGCACTCTCTCGAAGTTTCAATTATCTTACACAACTTCAAATTCTGGTGGCATTCTATGTCTCCCTATGGGGAATAGGAAATATCAAACAGAATGAATAACTCTCAATATCTCCTTAACTTTTCTATGTACCGAATACAAGTGGACAACTTGGTGATCTTCTTGTCTCGCCAACAGGCAAGAGAAGTCTCTCCTTTCAACAATATGTAGTTTATACTCTTTGTTCCCAATGAAGATTGGAACTGCTGATCACATCTTCTATATATCATTACAACAAAAAATATTTTTAGTGGTCACACTCTAACATAATGTCTAATGCCTTTTTAACTAGAATACACAGAGCAAGTTGGTGGTAGAGTTAGGAGACTTTATGTGTAAAAAGACAAAAGTTTAAGTATTTTCGACCAATATATTGTCTAGGGCTTTGAGGAAGCTATTTAAGATGAATGCAATAGAGTATATGTTGTCTATTTATTGCTCTCTCAAAGAGCTAAGCTACCCCTAGAAAAAGTGGAGCCTTAGAAAAAATTGATTTGCCTTAGAAAATATTGTTGTCTTGAACTAAAAGTGGCTCTCTCAAAGAGCATTTTCGACCAATATCTTTCTATCATCTATATCCTTAGAGAAAAACTGAATCAAAAGTAAGATGATAAAAAGAGTATTAAATTATTCTGATATAATACGCAAGTGCTAACCTACTTATGTAAAGTCAATAAAAAAATTTGGTTGACTTCAATGGGGACGATACCACCAGTTCTATCTTTGTTTTTTTGTTAGTCCTTTTTTGTTCTTTCTCGTTCACTCTCTTTAATTTTCTCATATTTTTTGGGACTGAAGCGTAGTAATTGTTATTGTTTGTTTGTTTGATTTGCTCATTATTCATGTGAACAGAATTGCCTCCATGATCAAGGTCCAATCGGTATTTAATTGCTCTTCATCATTACCACGATAATGATATGCTTAAAAGAAAAATTATTGTATTTATGATACACTCTCATCTTCCATTTTCTGATTTGTATAGTTAAATGATTATCTTATTGGAAAATGAACAAGACACGGTTTCACACTTTAGCCAAATCTTCTCTTAAAAGTTGCATAAAGTCCCTATGCTTGATGTAGGCCAGATCAATGATGATTTATAATCTAAAGTTACTTGACTCTTTATGTTATCGACTTGATTGATATTAGAAGAGCTACTGAAAAGTTTTGAAATATCGCATTTGAACGTTTATATTGTTATATCATTCAAAGAATGATGAGAAGAAACTTTTGAATGTTATAGGTGAGTTAAGTGAATGAATCAAGAGCTAAATAAGTGTCTTTATGTAGTTAAGGTTTCCGTATCTACTTTGTGCTTGTGAAACATCAAACGTCTGATATATGTTTTATTAATGAGATATTGAAGTCACCCCTGTAAAATGAAAAAAAACGGGAATCAATACTCCAACCTTTACCACAGCATCCCAATTTAGGAACATGGGAAAAAGGTTCCTAAAGTGCACGATTAGAAACTATGTTATTTTTGAGTTTGAGATGGCTACATTTTAAATTCAGCATCTTGACCATATTTATGTACTATTTATATAGTAAATTTACCATACTTTCATAGCATTAAAATGAGCAAATAATTAAGAACAATATTATCATACTGATATTTTTTTTACCATCCGCGCATCGCGCGTGTTCTAATACTAGTTTTCTTAAAAACTAATCCAACCTAACCTTTTTTTTCAAAATTGTTTTCCGAACTTTTTCAAAATATAATTTTCGAACACTAAGTCAAAATAAAATCAATCTCCACTCTAGTTAAGTCAATTGTTGCTTTAACGTTTATAGTGGAAACTTTAAAGAGCAATAACTTTCAAACAAATGTACTACTATTAATAGAAAAGTAATTTTAAAAAAAAAAACAAGGAGTTCCCCGAGAAAAGAAGTAGATATCTTAAGAACCACGTCGTTTCGCTGTAATGAAGGAAAGGCAAAAAAGAAAAAGAAAAAACAGCTGGGTTAATTAACTCGCTGAAATGAGCACTACCAGTAGTACTCCAAATTTGTTAGAGAGATATTTTCCATTTCAACTGTCCAAGGGTTCCAAGCTTCCCCTTCTTCAGGTAATTGAAAAAACTAGGAGAGATAATTGAAAAATCTCCTCTTTGATTTCTTTTCCTATTCCTGATGGGACGCTATATGTAAATGCATATTAACTATTTGATGAAAGGAGTCACAGTATGTACTATTTAGTTTGACAACAGTATCACCAGAAAATGAAACGACGAGGTCATTTTCCCAAGGATCCAATCAAATTCGTATGCGTTCTAGTGTCTACTGTTTTTACTTTCGTTCTGTGTCTTTCTGTACTTAAACTTCACGAAATACCAGTAGGAACTAGTAATACAATCAATTCATCAGGAGTTACGAAAGTGAAGATGAATCCAATAGCAGCAGGAGCAATAGGGAAGTTGGGCGAAATGGTGATCGGAATGTTACCTCGCGATTTGGGGTTCACTTTATTTTTGCCATCTGAAAAAGCATTCGAGCGGGATCTGGGTTTGGGTCCCAATGAGTTGGTGGGGGAGAAGGGGAACGATACGTATGCAATACTAACTCGTGTACTGGGATTTTCAGCTGTGCCGAGAGCGATTAACTCGGATGATGTACAGTTGGGGAAGGAGATTGATTATGATTCTATATCGGGATATATACTGTATATATCGAAAGATTCAGATGGGTCATTAATAGTGAATAGAATTGCTTCTGAAATGGTGGATCTGAGAAGAGGGAAGATAGTTGTACATGTTATGGATGGGGTGATAATGGATTCAGAATTTGAGCAATCTGTACGACCTGGTTCCGAGGAGGATAATTGAGCTCAGTTTCGTGAATTATTGATTTTCTGATTACCCCATTTTTACTTGGGGAAAAAATTGTGAAGCTTTTACTGAGTACCGATTGATGCATTTGGGATGGCGCAGGTGGATCTATAAAGATAAAGAGGAAAACTTTATTGACCTTATTAAAAAATATTGGGCTTTGTGTAGTTTTTTTTTGTTGTTGTTGATTTTGGACTTTTTCAAGCTTATGTTTTGCTGCTGCTTGTTTGTTACATTAATTTAGCCTGTTATAATTGCTACACTATAATATTATTGTAAAAAAAGAAAAAAGGTTATAGCTGTTACACTATACTTTATTTATCGTCTTATAGGAGAAAAAATAAATCTGTTATAACTCTACCAAAGTCAGCCCATCATAAGTGATGGAGTACTTTGCAGTTAATAAGGTTGTACTGATAGATGATAGATAATAGCAGATGATACTGAAAATACCTTTCAACTATTGAAAATGGAGCATATATATCCTCCGTTTTAGTTTGAGTGCAAAATTACCCTAACCGTTATACAATAGGATCAATAATAAAAAAGTGAGAAAATTTAAAGATTGACTTTTCTTTTCTTCTTCCCCTCCCAATTCTCTCTCCATGCTTTTCATTCTGTTCGTTGCCCCTTTTCTTTTCTTTCTTTCTTTCTCTCTTTTTACCCCTTAATTCAAATCAATACAAGAAAAAACCTTCAGAATTCCATTTTTCTTTACACAAAAATCTAACCCATTTTGCTTTATATGTGCACACAAGTTCCATCCACTAGCACCACATGTGACATACACTGCACTAATTGTTCTAGCTGAAAAATTTTTGCTCTTGGTATCACTCCTACACGCTAGTTTTCTCCGCTCAATATCCTACATGCAAGTTCATGTTGAATTTTAAGCAACTTATATGCAGTACAAGAAAAACTTTAAAAGGTTGCAATTTATCTTGATGGCTATATTGCCACTTGCTGAAGAATAATACTTGAAGGACATTAAAACTTGACAGCCAAAACCAAAATTTGTTCAAACTAGTTCCTTTTTCAATAAGAAATGACTTGTATACAAATTCATTTACTTGACAACCTAATATGTCATCAACGCACTCCGCAATAGTATACACATTAGTTAATGGCTGTTTTTTTTTTAGATACAACCGGTGGTCGTGGGTGAAACTTGAGTGTAGTAGATAAAGCAAAATGGGTTCAATTTTGTGTGAAGAAAGATAGATTTCTAATAGAATTTTTCTGGATTTGACTTATTTGAATTAAGAGGTAAGGAAGAAACAAAGAAGAAGAAGAGATAGGGAAGGGGTTGGCAGCGGACTTAATGAGAGGAGGCATAGAGAGAGAATTGGGAGGGAAAGAATAAAAGAAAAAATCAAACTTTTTCTTATTCTAAATATTTTCTGAATCATGTTTTTTCACTTTTTCGTTAGTCAGGGGCATTATTGATCCTATTGTATAACGATGAGAGTAATTTTGTTCTCAAACTCAAATGAAGGATATATTTGCTCCATTTTCAATAGTAGGAGGATATTTTTGGCCCTTCTCCTTAGCTGATATATAATCTGGTTTAACAACTTCCTGGGGTGATATGCTTGTTCTTGGAATGCATCGATCTACCCATGCTGCTGCTTACTTTGCAAGATCAACTAGACCCAAAAGACTTAAAAAGAGAGAATACTGGAAGAAGAATAGAATGGTAAAATCAGTCTGTTCAATAGTCAGTACCAAGAACAAATTCAACAAGTAGGTTTCTAAAATCAGCTGATCTATAGGCATGAATCGAAAAAATTAAGAAACTTTTCATAATTACTTATGAAAATTCCTCAAAACCACGTTGAATTCCCTATTAAAGGGAAATTCCATTCTGTGTAAATTCCTCAAAAATTATAAAGCCAACTAAAAACTCAAAAATTCCCCCAAAAAAATGACTTTTAGAAAACTGAACGCAACAGTAAAAGCTGAACTCGACCAAATATCCAAACCTCTCGAGACGATGGTTGGTTTGTTTACTTGTACAATTAAAATGGCCAAACTGAATTACTTTAAGAATATAGTTAAGAATATATTATATATAGTTATGTAAATTTTATACTATTAGTGCAATATAATTCGTATAATAAGTTATTACTTATCTATTTTATTTTCAGGTTACCTTATTAAGCATGTAATGGAAAATTACCTATTGTCAAAGTTATATTTAACCTAGTGATGTAAAAAATTATATTTTATAAGTGTACATAATTTAATCTCTTTAAGTGAATGCATATCCTGATTTAATTTTCTTTTATAAAATTCTCAATAAGCTGTCCAAGGAGAAATTAATTTGTGGGAGTTTAATTACTCTATGATTTTTCAATTGTATGTTTTTCTTGTTCTCCGAAAACCATTCCAATTCCGTGCAAAATAAGAAACAATGCAAGTCGAATACAATTAAGCATATTCAATTTGGAAACCCTTTTTGTTGAGTACTTTTTTAAGTAACAAACCTTTCCGAAAAAGTTGTCCCTGTTGTGAACAAGGCTAGTGCAGTAAGGATTTACGGGCCAAATTTGTTGAGCAAGACTGATTTAGTTAGGACTATTGGGCCAGGACCTAATTTAAGAGAAAGCCCAAGGATTAAACAATCGAATAGAATATCGGAGAATTATATTTGGGATCTAGGGGGATATGCAGGGCATGTGAATACTGTTGAGAAAAATGTCTGAGTCCTCTCCTCCCCAATTTCGAGTCTAGCTTCTCATCCCCTTTTTTGGTTCTATTCTATCTTATTTAGCTTCGCATTCTGTATTTTCATTATGTTGTTCTACTTTTTTGAATTGTAATCGTTAGATATTACCATCAATACAAAATATATTTTGGAGTTGTTACAGTCCCAAAGCTATTATTTTCACCGGGCCTTCTTCCACTCGATACATGTAACTTTTTGCATGTTTTAAAAATAATTGCATATATAGAGCAACCGTCAGATTTTTTGGTGATATGTCAGAACATGACCGCTAGTTCTGACATGCAAGCTTCAACTTTTAACCGCTGTCAATTTTTGATGAACTTATTTGCTCGAGATCAAAATTTAAACAATGGTACGAAAATAACCTACTTGTGCACGTCACCCTACACTTTCAACATATATGAACATGAGGGCAAAATAAAGGTAAAAACATCCACTTTTAAGGTTATTAAAAATATTGGATTACAAAAATAACCTTTTAATATTATGCATAATAACTCACGATAAAAGGACATAGACCGATTTCTAGACATTAGCCTTCTAATCCTATTAGTTTTAGGATATAATATTACATTACCTTTAGGAATCCTATTAGTATAATTATTTTCGGGTATAGAAATATTACATGTTAGCATGTAAACCTAAAATCTTTAGGGTCATGTTAGATTTTCTATTAGTATAATTACTTTTGAGATATTGACATATTTTTAGCTATGTAATCCTATTACTTTTAGGATATACTTCTTAAACAATTTCTATTACTAATTTAATTTAAAATGTATTATATTGTCCGAATCTATTTTGAAACATGGGAGCCTATATTATTATAAAAATACGAATATAATATTGATAGATCAAAATAGTCCTAAAATATTAAACAAAAGAATTCATAGGGAAAGGACATAGCTGTAATTACTTATTCTTTTGGACTACAATAACTTCTATGTTAATTTTTTTAATATTTAAATTTTTATAATTAATACAATCTTTTCTATTGAATTATTATTAAAAATATGTAGGAAGGTTTAATAAAATCAATTTCATAAGAATCTTCAATATTAGTAATACATTACCACTCCATAATATTCAATACCAAAAAAAATAAAAAAAATGCTAAACGGACCGCATAAAGCGTTGAAATTGAGAAAAAAATCTTCATGATAATATATTATTATATTATATTTGAACTGCTTTCCTCCTCAAATAATATTTTTTTAATATTAATTTTTCGTGTAATATAGAAAAATATACCTATTATTAAAGAACAACTAAAAAAAAATTTAGGAATATAAATGTGTGAGAAAAGAGAGAAAAAAGTTGGTAAGAGCTAGTACCATTAATTATTTTACAAACATAAAGATCTAAAAGTAGAATGTTATGTCAATCTTTTTACTCTTTAAAAATAAAATTTATGGTGGATAAAATTATAATTAGAGTTAAATATTCAAACATGAGATGAATTAATATTAAGAATCTAAATCAACAGAAAATAAATTATATTTTATGTTAAAACCAAATAATCAAATCTTTCAATTAATTATTTAGCAAGAGAATCTAATTAAATTATTTTTTAAATTCATCATATGAGTAAAATTATTTTTCAAGTTAAAAAATCTTAGGATACATAAATTTATTCCATAAAAAGAGTGTTAGAGATTTTAAAAAATAGATCGCAAAGAAAAAAATATTAGTATAATACTAAGAAGGTCATACAAGTGTTCGATGAAGCACAGTCAAAGTTAAATTCTGAACCAGAATAAGCTTTAAAGATTATATATAAAAAGTCGACTCTAGTATAGTGGGATTATCCTTTGTAGATGCCTTCAACGGAATCGAAATAATATTCATATGTCATGCATTACTTTCAAATATCGGATCAAGAGGCATGATATTGTTAGCAATAAGAACAAGTGGTATACCAACAATGATTTTATTATGAGGTCGTACAACTCACTTTAGATTTGATATACCTCTCAAAATATCTGAAATAACCATCACAAATATATCAAATTAGAGCAATAATGTTAAATTTATAAGAAAAGCAAAAGTGAGAATATGAGATGAAGCGCTTTTGGCTAAGCGTCAAACGATCGAAACAAACCCCTAGAGTTTTAGAGATATATTGGATATCGATGAACCGTTTGGTGAAAAAGTAATAGTTTGGGAGATGATTCTTGTGAAGTACGATCAATAGTTCTAAAATTGACCAAAGCAGAAACTATAAAAGCTAGCTTGCCAAAATTATGACCTCAAACGAAAAATATTCAAATGACAAGAAATATAAAAGTAAGAACAGATCCAACATTCAGTGACTTCTTGATTCGTGTCGGAACGAAGAAGAGAATCCAATAAAAGATGATTTGATTCTTCTAGAATACTTGGTTATTAAACCCGATGATAATAATAGTGCATTTAATAAGGAAAGTATTTTCATCATTAGATTAAAACTCAATTTGTACAAATTATATTATGAAAATTAAA